GCCCGAGCCCCACCCACCCTTCTTCAGTTCTCCCACCCCACACCAGAGAATGGATACTGAATTTTGCCATTAATCAGAGCCAAGCGCCACACAAACAGGTTGCCTGCCTCATCCAGGCAGGCCAGCTGTGGAGAGTTGAGGTGCGCAAAGGCCAGATCGGCCACACTGCCTGTGAAGCCCTTGAGCAGGGTCCGCTCCGAAGTGCTGACACTGATCACCCGCACCATCGCTGAGCCATTGTTGGCAGCTGGAATCAGGAGAGCAGTGGGCCCTGAGCAAGTATCCAAGCTCAGGCAGCAACAGAGAAGCCCTGCCCTTGCCCATCTCATTGCCACCACCATAGTCTCAAGCTTAGTTTTCCCACCCAACTCCCCAAGGCCTGGCAGGGGTTGGGGCAGCATAGACAAGCCTTCCATTGTACCCCTAGGTGGGCTGAGCCTGATGCTGGATCTGGCTCTCTGGGACTTCTAGCAGAACACTTCCTTCCTCTCCCCTGCCTCTACTCACCCCGAATGGCATAAGCCAAGAAGGAGTTAGACACAGCAATCAGGTTGCCATAGTAGTACTTCTGCTCCCAGTCGTACTTGGCGACAGGCTGGATTTTCACCTGAGAACCCAGGGGTAGGAAAGTCACAGAAGCTGAGGGCTGGGGCAGCTTCCCCAGAGCCTAGGAGGTCCTCAGCATCCCTGGGGATGAGAGAGGCCATAGGTGCAAGCCCAGCTACCCAGTGAAACTGCCTGAGGCCAGATTCCCACAGAGGCTTGGCACCCAACCCTGGCTTCCTGAAACTGGGACATACTACCTATATGTCCAGGTGGTCCCCACAGGAATTGGCAGCATGAGGGATATGGGAGAGGCTGGGTGTGCCCCCATACATTATACATGCCACAGCAACCTTGTACCCACCTTGTTGCTCCCCCGGGCCTTGCTCGAAATGCTAGAGTCACTGCTGGCCACAATCTCTACCTCCTTGGCCAAAATCCCAATGCAGGTGGAGCTGTCATCTCCTGAGAGGCAGCTAAGTGGATAGGTGCACAAACTTTGTCTCCTGTTCATCAAACGGCTCAGTGCGCAGGGTTGGGAGGAGGAGAGGACACAGCCACCCTGGTGAAGGGGTCTAGTCCCAGATGCCCAGCTTTGCCTGGTCCACTGGTCCCCGACCCACAGCTCCCCTTGCTCCCCTCCCTCCTTGGGAATGAGCCTACTTCCATTCTAAACCAGGGATCCTGGCCAAGCCCTTAAGCTTGTCTTTGCCTCTCATCCTAGTGCAAGCTCAATGTGGTTAAGTGCTCCGCCCCAAGTCATCTAGACGGGGAGCAGCAGAGGCTGCTGGCCCCTTTCACCCCCATCTCATGCCTTCAGCTAAGCAGGTGCCTCAAAGACACCATCACCACCATTGCCATCTCCCAGGTACTCACATGACCTGCTTCTCCTGCAGATTAATGGGCGGCATGGTCCGGAGACCAGTCTTGCTTGTTGAGGTACCATCACCTGAGCAGAGAGGGTCTGGGACCAGGAGTCCATTAAGGTCCCCGTTGTAGGCGCTGGATGGCCGAGGGCTCTCTGCAGTGGGGCCTGGGGAGAGAGAGGGCCAAGGTTCCTCTATCTGCCCACCAGCTTCTCGTGCAGAGTTTCCTTCCAGAACTCTGAGATGCTCTAGAAGCACTCAACTGAGCAAAGCATGTCTGTGAGAGAAGGGCCCTTGGTTCATCTCTCATTCCATAAACGATGATGTACACCAGGAGCAAGAATGAGTATGAAGGTCCTCTACCTGGGGGAGGGACCCCGTGAGGCCAGTTAATACTCAGGCCTGGGTCAGCACAGAGGAAGTCTGTGTGCTTTGAGGTGAGGGGCATGGGAAGGGTCAGGAAAGTGAAGGGAGCACACGTTCCAGGCTTGGGGCAAAGGGCCCAGTGGTCTCAGGCAGCTGACAGATTTTCTGAGAGAGCTGGGGTTAGCTAAATCCATCCAGAGTGAACACCAGTGCCTGCTTCCAGAAGCAGCCAGTTTGGGCCTCCCAGAAGGTGTAAAAACAAGATCTGAAGAAGCATCAGTTCTCAGCGGTGGACACTGCACATCCACACTACCATCACCAGACAGCCCTTCAACGACTACAACTTTTCACAGATCCCCGAACCCGCCAATAAGCTAGTGCCCTCACATGTGCTATTTCCTCTTCATAACAGGTAGCTTCTACATAGGTGCCTTGGGTGCCTATTCATATCACACCCAAGCCCCTGTTGATATTACAAGACCTAGCCTAAATAGTTTCATCTCCCAGACCTGTACTCTGCACTTACCAGCCTCTACCCTTCCCATCCCATCACAGTACCAAACACTCCTCTCTTTCAATGACAACATTATATTACAACCCTGTTAGCTCTCTGTGTCCTGGGGGCTCTCTGAGGGCAAGAGAAGTTCTGAGGTATCACCAGGAACCCAAGTAAAATATGAATGAATAGAACAAATTAGGGCTTGCAGATTATTCGTAGCCTAATTCAGCCAGGGTGGTGCGGTCTGTGATTTGCCTTCCTCCCAGAAAGGAGGAGGAATTGGGGCTGAACACTTTCCTCCTGGAAATCAGTTTCAGAACAGCAGGCCTGTAGTCCGCATTCCAGAGGGAAGGGCAAGTTATAGAGGAGGATCAGCAGCTCTCAGCGCTTAAGCCTAGACCTGGAATTCGGTATACAGAGCCCGGACCAGGCCTCTGAACTATGGCGAAAGGGTATGGGCGCCGGGCCAGTCCCAGGAATACTAGAGACCTGGAGGCCAGGAACCCAGAGGGACCCAGCAGATTCAGACAAGGGGCCTCACCTTCAGCTGAAACGCTGAAGGACAAGGCAAAACGACTCGGCGCCGGGATGGGGAGGGTTCACACCCAGGGGTCTGCACTCTTCGAAGGGGTACACTCAGGGACCTGGGGCTCCGACCCCCGTCTGCCCTCATCATCCGGGAGGATCCAGAGCTGGTCCTAAGGGACCTGCGGGCCCTGAGGGCGGTTCAGACCCGCGCCACCCTTCTGCCTGCTCGTCGAGGGCCCACCCCCCGCTGTCCCCGCTCACCCCCCGCCGGCCGGTCCAGCTTGAGGATGTCCCGCAGGTGCTGCGTGGCGTCCTCTATGTCGATGCTCGCGCAAGAGGCCATGGGCCCAGCTGCAGACGCCCCGCCCGCACCGCGTTCGTTCCGCTGCCGCCGCGTACCGTCCAGCCTAGCCCGGCCGCGACGGGGCGAGACAGCGGGACGCCGGTCACTACACTCAGTCCACCCGCAGTTCGCAAACCGCCGCCCGCGACGCGTCCCTGAGCCCCGCCAACCCCACCAACCGCCTCCACTTCCGGCCCCCAAGTGCCCAAGTTCCCGGAACCTGCAAAGGCCGGAGAAGAAAGGTTCCGGGCTGGGGGCGGACGCCTAAACCCCTCCCGGAGCCCGTCCTTCTCGGCGGCCCCGCCCCTGTGCCAGCCTGGTCCACAGAGCTGAGGCAGAGCAAATGTCCACGTACTGGGCTGCCCAAAACCCTGCTCGTCTCAGGAGATCCCGCCCGGTCCATACCCTCTCCCAGATCATGGACTCTTGGTCGCCCTAGGACGGGATCAACTCAGCCGCCCAAGTTACGTCCCTCAGATTCCCAGAAATAAGCTGAATTGGCAGGAACGTCAGTTTCCCATTTGGGAAATGGGTCTGAGTAACCCAAGGTCCGAGGTGATCCACAAAATCATAAAACTCAGGAAGTGTAAGGGCAGGGGAGATGGTATCACCACAACACTCATTGTTCCCTTCTGTTCCCCAGCATCCCCTTGTCCCACCTGGCACCCTGAGGTAGGAAGAAAGAAACCACAGTTTACAAACTGCTTTTTATTGCAGACAATTCAGGCACAGGTACATGGAAGAAGCTGTATTGCAGATTTTATACAGGGTGGTTTAAGAGGCAGTAGGTATCTACCTCTCCCTCACCCCCACTTCCCCAAATACACACCAGCCTAGAAATCGGTCCCACTGACAACTGAGCATGCTGTCCCCTCAAACAGCACACCACTGACACTGTACCCAATGTAGCCAGGCAACCTGTGGGGTCTGAGGAAGTCCTTACCCTCCACCAATAGTGGACATGGGGAGGGAATCCTTTATAGGTCAGGCTTAGCTGTGGTGCCCTTACCAATCCTAAAACCTCTAACAGGGCACTGACCCAAATCCTGGATTTGGTTCTAGCCTGCGATTGCTACCTTGCTACTAGGTTTATACCATCCACAGGTCTCAGGGCTGAGCTAGATTTGTACTGGGCTAGGCTTCTGCCCCCAAAACTGAGAAGCAGAAACCACCCTATTAATTAAGACTTCCTGGGATTTGAAGACAGTGTGGAGTGTGTGCACTGAGGAAGGAAATGGAGGAGACATGGAAATGTCTGCGGAAGTCTGAGGGGTGAGAACTCCTACAGGATGAATCCCTCACACTCACAGCTCTGAATCTACAACCCAACTGTGTCTGTCTCTATGGGCAACAGACTGGCTCTTCTGGGCACCTGCCCTTAGGCAATGATATCTGAAGTAGGTGGCACAGGATTTGAGCTGCCCTCTGCTTGGCAAAGGGTACGTGAGGCACCCTAGATATGATCCTGATCCCTCTGGGGATAGGGCAGGCCCCTCCCCTGATATTGCTGAGACCTCAGCCCACAGGGCCTGAACTTGATGGGCCATTTTTTCCAAGGCCTCTCCAGCTTCAATAGGATTCAGGGTCTTCTCTCCTGCTACTACACCTCTGAACTTACTCAGGGTAGAGTTCATGGGAGGTATCAGCACTGACTGCAGAGGCTACAAGGGAAGCTTCAGGCCAGACCTGAGCTCTCCCTGCCCTCCAGGGCTTCTGAGGAGTGCTACTTCGGCAGTTTTCTCCTTGCAACAGGTATTGTAGACTTAGGGCTGAGGTGGGAGGATGAGACATGAGAGACAATGGGTCAGAGTAGTTACTAATGCCCAGCAAACTAGTAAACTAATTAAAACAATTTAAACTGTTAAGAAAATTTTTGTGGTTTTATTGTATCATGAGGCATTGAAACATCTGAACAAATCAATATCTGGGCGGTGAGGCAGCTGCTTTCTCCTTCACTTCTTTGGGTTACTAGAGCAACTTGTCAGTAGATTAAAAAAAAAAAAGGACAACCTTTTGCATTACTTAAGTCTTTCCAAGGCATGCGCTGGTACAACACAAACTTCTCCTGTCAGATGCAACTAGTCTAGCGTCCAAACATCATGCACAACACCTCGGTGGCAGCAGCGCACTGCACCCACTCCCACCGTGGCCCTGCTCGTTTGTGTATGATATTTGGAGCATCTGGAGGAGTGTGAATAGTATTGGGAAGAGGAGGGAGGAGGAAACAGCATGAGTGCCTGGCTAGGAGGAGGTCAGCCAAAGTTGTGCAGGGCAAGCCTGAACATGTCATTGGTGCAAACCCAAGCATCGTTGATGTTCTTTAATAGGAACATCTGGTGGAACCCCATGATAGGGTCTTCATCGGCCTGTGAGGAGAGAGACAAAATGATTCAGTAAGGATGCCAAGGAACAGGAAGGGAGTTCAGTGGCAGGGGAACAGGGCAAAAGAATGAGGACTTTGGATCAGGCCTTACTGTCCTGGCCTCAAATCCCTGTATAGCCAAAGGGTACTTATGAATGTGAATTAATATATTAAACAATGTTCTGGGGACACAGGGGCCAACAGATGGCAGCTCACACTGCTATGTGCACTTAAACTGCAGAACAATCCACCAGTTAGCAACAGAGCAGAGCACAAATGATCAAAATTTTGAAAGAATTCCATAGTACTTACCAAGCAACTGAAAGTATCAAAAAACTGTAACCAATCTTAGTGTTTGATAATGTCAGTCACTCCCATCAGGAGAAACTACTGCTAATACTGACTGTGGCCAAATATGTGAGAAAGGCTCAAAACTGAGTTCATAATGTGACCACAGCTTTATGGCGGGGAGCAGAGGCGGGGGGGACATTGCATTACCATTGGTGATCTGTTTCCCATCATGTAATAGGTAACGCTTGCAATGAAAAAAGGCAAGAAACTTCCAGCCAAACTGCAGAAAACCAGGATGAGGCATACTTGAAACAGGAGCCCAGCTAACCAGCAATGTTTCTAACATCACTTATTTTCTGGGAATCCTCCCCAGCAAGGAGGCAAATCACTAATTTGAGGGCTCCAAGTTGGACAGTAACACCAGGAAGAACCTGAAGCCAGGTGGAAAGGGGCAGTGCTTACTATCCCAGCCTGAGAAAAGTGGGCACTGAGCTCCCTAGTCAATTCTGTGCCTATTCAGGCACAGGCTCTGGGAAGGGCATCTTGGACAGGCAGGAGAAACTGACAGGAAAGTCTAGGCCAGAAGGCAGGTGACTCTGGGTCCACTGCAGAATCCTAGAGGTGCCCTCCATCAACACCCATACTGGACTCAGGAAGCCCTGCCCCAGCTAGCCTAGGAAGAAAGCCTGTGAGTCTGTTACTGTAAGCCCCATCATGACACAAGCCCAGGAGAGCAATGCCCCTGACCAAGGGGCAGCCAAGGTGTCCTGCTTTGGAAAGAAGGGGTTTTTTGAAAACAGAGACTCTGGCTTTAGCATGGTAGAGCATAACAAGTCCCATGGAGGGTTCCTGGGGCGTTTGAAGGGCCACAGGAGGGCTTTGAGGATAACAGATCTTGAGAAGGGAAAGGGAAAATGCCAAGAAAAGCAGGAGTTCCAGGAATCTGCTTTGCTCAGCAGCTAAGAAGCCAGCGGCCAGCTTGGGGAGTGGCAGCATGGCCTCCGTGAGGGGACTGCCTCTCAGCACCCAGCTGGTCCATCCACCTATCCCGCAGGACAGCGCAAGGGCCCAGTAGCTTGGCACCACAACCCCATCCTGCCCCTATACTTCTTGTCCCTTTTCCAAAAAGGCTCTAGACCAGTGTTCTCCATTAGAACTTTCTGCAATCACAGAAAAGTTCTATATCTGTGTTGTCCAATATGTAGCCACATATGACTGACTACGAGTACTCAAAATATGGCCAGTACAACTGAGGAACTCAATTTTATTTAATTTTAATTAATGTAACTTAGGACTTACTACCTGGGGCTAATGGCTATGGTATTGAACTACACAACTCTAGACAGTCATTTTGTCTGAGTGTTCCTTGACAGGCAGGGCACATCCACAGGGAAGGAGGGGCTCAGGGCTCTGCGCCGCCTGCCCACTCCTCCCTTGCACTGCAGCAGCACTATTACCTTAAGCTGGCCCACAACCATGCTGATGATGCAGCTATCTGGCGTAGGCTGATGGTCCTGCGCCGTGATGCTGTGCTGGATTTTCTGGAACGGAAGGCTCTGCAAGAGAAAGAGTGGGCGGTGGGCTAACTAAAGACAGAAGGGGTGGGGAAGGAGCCACCTGCACCCTGGCTCTGGCCCTTACTTACAGACAATTTCTCCACAATGGCAGCTTTCCCCTGGAACTGCTGTCCTTCCCACGTAAGGCATGACGCGTCAATCTGAAAAACACACAGAACCCGAGTGTTGGGGCCTCGGAGCACAAGAATTATTTCTAAGATTCTGGAAAGACTCTGAAAAGGGACTGGGCATGGTGGCTCACACCTGTAAAACCAGGACTTTGGGAGGCCGAGGCGGGAGGATCACTTGAGCCCAGGAGTGAGACCAGCCTGAGCAACATAACAAGACCCTATCTCTACAAAAAATAAAAAAAATTAGCCAGGTGTGGTGGTATGTGCCTGTAGTTCCAGCCACTTGGGAGGCTGAGGTGGGAAGATCACTTGAGCCCAGGAGTTGGAGGCTACAA